TCTTGATAGGGCAGAGACAGGAGGCACACGCTCAGCATCTCCTGCTGTCGGGACTCAGTTATGCTCATGTGCATTAACACGAACTTTGATACCTGCAAAATTAGGTGTGCGTTCATGGATGCCAGCGATATCTGTGAACAGTTGTCTTACACGCTGTTTGAAAACGATGCTCTGCTTATTGTGGGAGAGCCACGTGAACATCTTGGTCCTCATAGACCTTTTTGTTGCTGTCAGTTGTCATTTCCCAGGCCCCAACAGCTCTCTTCAAGCCACATGCCCAGCAGCTGCATGGGACTCAACCTGTGAGGATGGATGGACGGACGGATGCAATCCTAAGGCAAGGGCCTTAAGTTATCCCATGAAGCTGCAGTAATGAGATGAAGAAAGGTGCCTTCTGCTACATGTTTGCTGAGAGGAAAGTGACTCATTCAGTTGCAGGGGTAGGCAATTGAAATGCACAGCGCATCTCTTCATTTAAGGAGGAACCTACCTTAATCCCATTGCAATTTTATTTATTTAACAACAGTGATGGAAGAGATTGCAAGAGGAAAGTCAGCATGTTCTGAGGTGCCAGTTGGGTACGGTTTCTTTAAACTAGCCCCTTAACCCTAAAGACTTAGTTGCACTACTAAACCCAGAAATACAAGAGAATTGGGTTTAATGAACTGGACGACACACCAAAGGAGACCTCCTTGTGCTGAGCTGCTACTCAACAGGAACAGAAACTGCCTTAACATAGCAGCTAGGTTTTGTTGTTCCGTCTTCAAAAATCTCATCAACGCAGTCCTTCACATTCTCATTTGTCATGTTGTGTTTTAACAAGGTCCTGACTATTTCACCTTGAGCTGTCATTCAACCACTCATCTCCATCATGTCATGGCCAGGAGCCTGGAATCATCCTTGCAGCGCTGGGTTAGAAGACACTCCACTTGTGATACTCGGTATTTCTAGGACACACACGGCATAAAGGAAACATCGGCTCCAGTGAATGAGAGATGGAGGAAGCATGTTAATCCAGCAGGTACCCAGGATCCCAAAGTAGATTTAAGGAGTGGGATCAGCAGCTCTAAATGCAACACTCAGCCTTGCTTTTGAGATAATGGTAAATAAAACAGCCGTGCTGCACAGTCACTGTTCAAATATCGCACAGAGAAGAGATGCCTGCTGAGATTAAGGTTACAAAGAACTTTCCCACAGTTTAGTAACAGGTGACTGTTTGGGCAAATGTTTATTATGCTAGCCTAAGGGAAAAGGGATCAATCTCCCTTTAGTAAACTCTGCAAAGGAAGCAACGGGAAACACGAAGCAAGTAGGTGTAAATGAAAGGCAAGTCACTAGCACTTTATCTTCATACAGACCTAGATCAGCAACTTGCCATGGAGATGAACAACAGATCAATTAATGACAACAGAATAACTTTGTACAGAGAAGCAAGAAGTGAGGTTACAGGCAGTGCTGCATGTACAAGGACTTGATGGCTGCGTGCACTTGTCCTACTTAGAATGGTAAATTCCAGATACGCCTCGACATCAGGCAAACTCTCTACTCCCCACTCGGCTATAAAAAGCAAGATTGTTTTAACCAAAAAGCCAAGAAAGGAAGTGTCTGGGTGCTGCAGCAACGATTCCCTTAGACTGAGAGGGAAAAAGCACACAGCAGGGACAAGCAGAAAGAATGTATCTATAGATATGTACATATACCACAGTGCTGTAATTTTTGTATGTAGCAGTAATGTAAATAAATGTATGGTTTTTATAAGATACATATTATAAAAATCTATAAAGGCATATTTTTAGTAAAAACAATGCTCTACTTCTTTTGTAAATAGTTCTCTTCAGAATAAAAAGATCATTTATACGATACCGTCTCACCTCTCAAATCACTGCTTACTTGCCTAGCTGCAAAGACCACCTCACTTTTTGAACTGTTATCTTAACACCTAACAGCATCTTTAGTACTTCATCATCCCAAGAAATTCAGCCACGTAAAGCACTCACATGCATTCAGAAGAGAATGGTCCTGGGGAAAGAACATTTGAAGCATTTTTACCTCCTGCCACACAGGAATATACAAAGGCGAGCTTGTAAATCTTCACCTTGCAGCCGTTTGCATCAGTTACCGGCCTTTATATGGAGGGATATTCAAACCTTAATGAGTTTAGACACAAAACACAGACAGACAACGAAGCATCTCCAGCAGCGCCAGCTGCAGTTCCGACCACCTACACGTCCTCTACAGAGTCATACCAGAACAGCGCAGACAGAAGAGGCACCTTCCCACAGCAAGTTTTCATCACGCTTCTCCAGAAGTGAGGACTTGTCTTCAACAGCCTGCTTGTGCGTCAAGGGCAGGCAGGGGTAAGTGAGAATGCTAAGGGCAACAAGCACAGCGACGGCTGCGTAGTTCCTATACAGAAACATATACATTAATTTCCTGGGAAAGCAAGGAGAGACTCCAGATGCTTTTTAATCAGCTCAGGGTCTGACTCCCGCTGCCTTGGAGGCGAAGCTTTCAAAGCTCGCGCAACGCTTTTTGTTTAAGAGAAAGACAAAAGATGATAGCAAAATCACGAGCACTTCACTTCCACGCAGAAATACGGTTACCAATTCCAGCTTACTCTTTCCTTCACGTTTAAAACTAGAATAGCAACTAAACATTTGAAAGCACTAATTGTGGTTTTGCCAATACCCCCTCTCCCAGGAAAAAAACCCAAACCTCTACATACAAAAGAGCTTACCCCTGGCTTGCCACCTTCCACCTCCAGATGCTGGACAGCAGAGGAAATAGAACCTCGAAAAAGATTTGGCAGCTTGTAACCTTTATTTTTAGTTTTTTAAAATTATTTAAAAAGCATAATTAGAAACTTTCATTACAGAAATAATCCTAGCAAACCAGTTAGACATTCCATTGCTCAACATTTAGGAAACTTCACATCAGCACCACTAGAGACACAGTTCCCACCCCTTCCAATTGAATAGTCAGTGGCAAGAGCAGAGAGGTAACTGCTCCTCTACAGCCAGCTCTAGGAAAAAAACGAACAAAAAAATAATCCCACTTTAAGCCAGGAAATTGAACACCTGGATTGGCAGAGTTCAAACCATGGTGACAAAGTCCTGGACTCAAAAAGGACCAATCTTTCCATATAAGAGAACACTCCAGGCTTGGGTGCACCATTTCCTCATTTTATTGCATCATTTCCAGTAAATTCAGACATTTCCTTTACTTCTGCCTATACGAAGTTACTCCCTCCTAGATCCGCACACACGCTACCACAAGAATCCCAAAGTAACGCAGCTGGGCCCTTTAATCTGAAAGTGGTGACCGCCACAGGACAGCTTCATTTCAACAGGAAGGCTCTGACAGCCGCCGCTGTCCATAGCTGCTCAAGTCTTACAATTATCAGAGCTCACACTAGCAATATCATCCCAGCTCGTTCTTATTCTTGGGTTACCAATGAAAGATATGTGAAGAAAAGACGGGTGAAGGCAGCTGGATACATACCCCCAGCACCTGAACTGATTAAAAAAACCCCCATGTGTTACACATTCATTGTTTGCTTTTTTAAAAAAGTCTTTAAAGTGATTGATTGTGATGTGATTGTATGATTAGGGCTCTTACCATAACCCATAAAATCTAAAAAAAAAAAAAAAAAAAAACAACAAAGGACTTTTCATTTCTCCATCATTTAAAAAAAAAGAAGAAATGCAGGCAAAATAAGTGACTAAAATTTAGCCTCTCCTGGGGGAAGGGGGAGGAAGGGAGAGAAGTGGGCTGATTCAAAGCTCACGGACATCGGTGAATCATATCCTACCAAACTAAGGCCAGCAGTTCCACAGGGCCACTTACTGACAAACTTGAGTACATCCACCTTCAAGGTCTTAAAGGAAGTCATACCCTCCATGCCTTTTAGTCATTTTAAGGAAAAATTCTTTTTTTATTATTATTTAGGCAATTATTCAGGTGCTGAGCATGTACTTTCAGCCCAGACATTCGATATTTTAGTTACACGCGCATACACTCTCCACCTTTAACTACATCTATTCAGGCTGATGATCTGAGCCCTTGTTTTCCTAGAAAGGCCAACACGGGCCAGGAAAACGTTGCTGAGCATAGTGAGAACACTTTGTTTCCAAGGGTGATCCTCCACCACCGCATAACCCGAGCAAGCAAGCTTTCCATTTCTTTACATTAAACAGCAGTCCTCCTTTCTAACAGAAGAATCCTGGGAATGATCCTGCAGCAGCTTTCATATTCAGACATCAATCCAGAACAGCTGGATTTACTTTCATGCCTTTTCTCTCTACAAAACAAAAGCTTTGCCACCAAAATTCACATTCAAGTTCAGATCGCCTACTTGTGGACAGGGCAATGAGGAGAAGTTTGGGGGTTTTTTGGCAGAATCACATGTTTTTTGTTGTTGTCAAAAGAAATGGACCCTCACTTAGGACCCTGGCAGAACCAGAAACAGAGGTCAAAGGAGTTAAACTTTGCTGTTTTTTTAAAAAAAGTTTTATCCAAGGAAATCCCACTTCTGCAGGTCAGTTTGTTTTTCAGTATCTTGATACAAACTAAAGGAGAGCACAGGTACAGCTGGGCTGCAGCACAAGAAGGTGAAACCCAAGGACCCAGCCGCCAATCTGGATCATGGCAAACTGAAATTCAAGGCCCCAGCAGCAGCAGCAGCTGCCAGCCCAGGGGCTGGTGAAGTGAAACCCCAGGCTCCAGCAGCAACACCTGCAATCCTGGTACCTAGAAAAACAAAGCCTGAGCCCCAGCAAAAGCCTGGAACTTCAGGGGAAGCCACAGGCCCTCGGGGCACCAGTTGCCAGCCTGGAGCCCAACAGAAATGAAGCCAGAAGCCCCAGGAAGCAGTTGCTGCCAGCCTGGGGCCAACTCGAATTAAGAACTTTGTACTATTTCTTTAAAAAGATGAACTCTGCAGTCCATGATTGGTTGACATTAAGAAGGCATAAGCCAAAGCGACAACAGGGAGGCGAGGCTGGTTAAAGCAATATACATTATATACAAACTCTTGGGTTAATTAGTCCACTTGGTAGGCAACGTCCTTCTTGTCTACAAGGCGCACTGGAATGAGCAAGGGAGGAGAGGGGGGCAAGATTCCATCCGATACCTTCTTGGCACTGAAGTGGTAAGGTGCCAGCGCCTCTTGATAGAAAACATGGAGAAAAAATAATCTTTAAATAACGGCACAAAACTGAGAAAGTCCTCCCAAAGCCTGCCCCAGTGGAATTGCCCGAGTCTAGCTGGAGGGGCTGATCTGTCTGAGAGCAGAGTCTCTGCAGCAGGGAAGGGGCATTAGCAGCACCGCTTCTTCCTTTTACTGTTCTTCGTTAGCTTCACCACATCATTCTGTTGCTGCTGTTGCTGCTTTGCTAAGTTTTCTTTCTTTGCTCGCAGGACTAGCTCTGTAATGCAATTAAACATCTGCAAGAGAAACAAGCAAGTTCAGACACCCAGGAACTCAGGCTAGCTTTTGTGAGATGCTGCTCTTGAGAAGCAACTCCAGTTTTCTAGATATTTCAATAACAGTTCAGAGATCTTCCCCAACCCACTACAGGTCAAATAGAAACCCAGTACCTTCCCAACCCGCTCCCAAGCTAAATCAATAACACCTCCATCCCCTTTTCCAAACCAGTAAATAAAAACAGGTCAGTTTGACAACTGAGGCCGGGAGCGAAGATTGGGCAGTCCTACCTCCTAGAAGCACTCTTCCTAGTGACAAGGCTTTCCTGAGACCATGCCTAATATGTTAGCACTGTAAAGCTAGTGAAAATGCAATGTGGGCTCCTTCATTTTGTTCCCCAACTCTTCCAAACATAGTTGGATGTCTCTCTGAGATTTTACTTACTCACTTGCAACTTGTACAAAGCATTTTATCTTTCTTCCTCAATGGGAAGAAGGTAACTGGTACTTTTCCCCAAACCATTATCGCAAATCATTTTATCTATACTCTTCTGTGTATTGTATTACCTCTTCCACATTAATATTTTCTTTGGCACTGGTCTCAAACAATTGGATCTCCATCTGCCCAGCAAATTTATAAGCATCTTCTGTTTCTACCACTTTTCGCTCTGGGTCATCATTCTTATTCCCCACTGAAAAAGAAAAGGGAAAAAAAAAAAATCAGTTTGGTACTTCAGCAGGTCAGCCCACTAAATAAGGTGTTGTAATTTCTCTAATTAGAAACTCACCTAGTATCCGGCAGACATCATCACAATTTTGATTAATTTCATGCAACCACCGTTTTACATTCACAAAAGATTCTGCACTTGTTACATCGTAGACAACAATGACCCCATGTGTTCCTCTGTAATACCTATGGAGCAGGAAAGACAACAAATGTTAACCCAAGGTATGTATCACTTTCTCAGCTCTTTCTCTTTCACTTTGCTTCTACAAGATTGATAACAAATCCCCAAGTCACAGCAATCAAATGCCTCCATTTTCTTTCCACTGGGAGTCATTTAATTCTTTTACTCCAGCTAGATCACATGCTATTCCTCTAAACCTACAGAGTTCCCTGCTCATTTAATCTACACAAGTAGGTTTCAAAGTCCAAAGACTGCTGTTTACTTCCTTGTTCAGGTTATCAAGACCTTCAAAGATGAATACCGTCTTCCAGCTACGTGAGCAAAAGGTAGCGGTGCCTCCAATATGTCCTCAGAACTGGCTGCGATGTGAACCTTCGCGTTGTACAAGCCACCTCAAGTTTTTGCAGTAATTTTGTTATCTGTGAAAGATCACTTACAGACTAAAATTTCAGCAGATCTCCAAGTATACTCAACCGTCAGTCAGTTCTCTTGAGCTCACAAAAATTTCTGTCTTGTTGAGCGACTGTGTTCTGATCGCACCTTCCTACTCAACAGATCGACTCCATATGTGCACTCAATGCGCTCTGCTACCTTTAGCCATTAAAAATAAGCTTCATTTCAGTTTATTCCCATTAGTCTTGGGCAATCAGCACCTTTAAAAGATGATGAGCAATTCTGATATGCAAGAAAAATATCTGAATTCAAGTTCTAACGTTATCACCTGCATGAACCTTCTAAAGGCAGAGAGTACGCACACCATGAGAATGCTATATAAAAAAAAGCAAGCTCCACCTTCTCAGTTTTCAGCCACATTCATAGGGCTACCACGTATTTTCCTCACCGCAAATTAGGCAACTTTGATAACAACAACAAAAAAATTTAAAACAGTTGACAGCAAGGTCTTCACCAGCATCCAGTTTCTGTATTTTGTAGCTTTATTCTTTCCATTTCCTCCTCTTTCTTATGATCAATATTAAGATTTTTAACAAAACACATTCAAGAACCCAGCACACCAAAATTGAGAATTTTCCCTTAAATTGTAACAGCATTTCTAGACCTTGATCTCTTACCACAAGCACTTCTTGCAGCACCCTCCCTTCCACTGCACTTTAGAGATGTCCCCTGTCACCACTCTGGTCCTCTTCGATAATTTATTCCGACTCAGCAAACACACCTTTGAACTTCAAAGCCTTTTAATCTAATCCAAACGCGCTACCTTTCAGAAGATCTCAAAGCTTTGGCTCACTTCTACTACTGATGCGCTTGAGCAAGTCGCTATCTTTTCCCCACACTATCTTTTCCTTTAGCCTCATCATCCCTTCTACAACAGAAGCACCTGCCCTTATAAACCATCAAGACAGACTTCCACAGAGAGGCACGTATCACATACAGAATGCACACATCTCCCCCCACCTCCTTCCTCTCCTGATCACTTTGTAGCGATAGTCACTGGGTATCAATGCTTCTCTATGATACGATACAAGCTGTACAGAAGTACGAGAGCCCACTCCTAGTGCTCATCTGGGCACTTCAGAACACAGTCAAATACTTCTGCCATGCCATGTTTTACCAATAATTTATGCTATACATTCACTTTCTTTGGCAAGAACTGGCTCAGGTAAGGATCACTTATTCCCTGCCCATAAGAGATCCTGTACTTTCAGATATTCTAGTCCATTTGCAGTCAGTTCCTTTAATAGCTTTAAGGCTTGCTATAGCACTGCATTTGTGCTTTACTTTGTTACAAGCTCAACTTTATTTCATAACTTAGATCATTTAGAGAAAGAAGCATTCCATAGCCTGAGTCCACATGTTGCAAAAGTAATCCATCCTCTCCTGACACCAACAAGTATTGCACACCATTTTTGATGAATGCCGTTTTGTGTGATAGCATCAGAAAGGAAACGATCTCCAATCCTATCAACACACTAGACTTCTCTACATCTATACACTAAACTAATTATTTTCAAACTCTCCCATATCACCTAATAGTCTTCTAATTCAGCAACCCTCAGGCTGACCTACCACTTCCTCCCCAACACTGAGCATTACATTTGCAAAGACAACACTCCGCCTTTAGAGAAACGCAGTGGTTCAGCTACACCTACGCAGAGCTGCTTCATTCTGCTGTGCACTCCATAAAACCATGTCTGGTATCCCAGTCATCCAAACCAGAGGACCCAACGGAGCATCCTGCTGCTCCTACCTTGCCCACGCACCTAGATTTTCTTCTAAGCAAAGCATATGATGTCGGGGAGTAGAATAACACGCACGGATAGATCCCACTCCTGACATGTCATCATCGCAGTCGTCGTTTGCTCCTAGGGATGAGGATTGTGGGCTGGACCATGCAGCACAGACCACTATGGCATTCAAAACTCTGCAGGAGCTGGGAGCTCCTGCCACAAAGCACTCATATTGCCAACCACCTCATCAGAAATATCTTCCTTTGTGCAAGACAGCAACCCCTGACTCCTGCTGAGCTCCTACCAGCATACACTGCTTCTATTTTTGGAAGGGAAAATTGTCTGGCACATCATTCTAGAAAGGCTGCCAACCCCTCATCTACACTAAAATGTCATTTTCTCCACTGGCTGACATTACCTTTCAGCAGCCCGAGAGATAAGACCATGACTACCTTTTATTTTCTAACTCTTAAGCCCCATAATACATGTTTTTCTCAAAAAGCTAGTCATGCTATTTTCTGTCATTTGTTAGATACAGCTTTGTGTCCCAGATAACATTTTAGGCTTAACAAGTACAGCAAAGATTCTCCAACCCCAAGTGCAGGACAGTACTAGAAAACAAAATCTGATTTATCCTACCTCATACTTCAAATTTCAGAATGATGCAGTGCAGAATTGCTTTTATAACAAGTTGTAGGCACTGGCGAGTAGAGAACAGATGGGGCTTTTGGCATTCAGGGAGGAGTAGGTGTAAATTTTGTGCTTTTGGCAACCAAGAGGTAGTCGAGGCTTTGACAC